AAAAAAACGCAGCTAAGCCAGCACACAGTCCAGAGCATACTTTAGTAGGTTCGCAACCTCCAGGAACGTAACCCACACAAGTCACACAAGCCTGTGGCCCGCAGAAGCAGCGCCCTCGCCACGAGCGGCTCCGATGAGGCGTGCTTGCAACCTCGGAAAGTGGACAGTGCCATTAATAGAAAACCCCGTCCCCATGACCTACCCCCACCCCCCCTGGCCAGCCCCCTTCCCTAACCCATTCTTTGCTGCGCGAGTCGTGGTGATTGGTTCCTGCCAACGGTGAGCTCACACACAAAAGGATTGACACTAGCAGATTAAGGCAACGTTGAGCTCACGCACTAGCGGACTAGAGAAAAGCTGCTTAGATCACGCACAAGTGGAAAGCGGCTTAGAGCACCGCAAAATCAACTCCGGATAGACAGGCAGGACAGCTTACGTGCCCCGCAGAAATGGAAGTCCGGAGATACGAGTATGGTGCACATTCAAATCGTGAGGCTCCCTACACAGCTCACTCCTGGGTGTTGTTGCTCTTCAGCTTGGCTGCCTCGAGCATGGCTTTCAACTTCGCACTCATCTCGCCGGTCTTCGGCTCCTCCCCGACCGGGACGATTGCGGTCTCTGCTGTCGACTGGGCCCCTGCCTTCGGAGCAGCCTTCGGCTGCGCCTCTGCCTTCGCCTTCGGCGCGCTTGTCTTTTTCGGTTCGGGAGCCGCTGTCTTCGCGACCTTCGTCTGTGCTCCAGAGGTCTCCGTCTTCTTGCGCTTCTTGCCAGGGTCCGCCAGAGACGGAGCGTACAGCTTGGAGCTGGGGTCCGACATGGCATCGATGACAGCCTGGAACACTTCCTTCTCAATGTACTCCTTCTGTGCCGGTGTCCCGGTGACACCGATGTACCCCAGGCGGTTAGTGACTGCCCAGCAAGCCAGCCGACCGGTCTGAGGAGTAAGGTCGATAATCTGGCTGCCACTGGTTGCATGCATGACGCTCTCCCACAGGAGGCATGGGACTTCGTGGTAGTTCACTGGCTGCTTGCAGTCGGGTGGCAATGTCTTCGCGGTTCCACGTCCACCGCCAACATCAGGAAGCGGAATGTCTTCCTCGTTGGTGATTCCGGAGTCCTCCTGGATCTCAGACTTATCCTGCTCGGCACCCTCATCATCGGAGTCTCCCGTCACGGTCTTCCCACCCACCGCTTGCCTGCGTTTGCCCCAGAAGGTCTTCTTGAGCTCGTAGGCCATGCAGGGCAAGCTTGTCCATGGCTCGAGCACGAACGGCCCCATCATGTCACAACCATTGTTTCCTGCGTCAGATCTGCTATGCAACCAAATCTTAGGGTGTAGTGTATAGGGCTCTGAAATACTTAAACCCATCAAATCTCCGAAGATAACCAGGCCTGGCACATGCAGGTGAGACTTCAGGGGGATGTCGGTCGATGCATCAAACCACCAAAACATCTTCTGCGAGCACTTCATCGTGGCAAGGGCTCTCTTGGAGGTGTGCCACTTTCTGTTCTGCACACTGTCCGGCGTGAAGGTCACCAGGATTTCCCGCCACACGATATTGCTACCCTTGCACTTGGATCTGCCAACCCCGGGCCCAACCCCGAAGTGTTTCGAGGCGAACTGGTTGTTGCTTCTTCCTCCGTTGAGCACGATGTAGATCTCGTTCGGAGCCAGGGTTGTCAAGGATGTGGTGCCGTGTCGAGCCAGCGCGACTGCCTCGAACAGTTTTTTCACGGTCGCGGTAGCCAAAGGGGGCTTGCGGATGTGCGGAGCTGTGATGGCCTCTCCAAAGCCGTTAACGTCGAAGAGGACGATGCAGTTTCCATGCTGCTGCGCGGCCTTGAGGAGATGATGCTTCGATAAGCTGCTGGCCAAAGAAGACGAACTCTTCTTGTCCTCTTCCGACTCCAGCACTAAGTACGACTTGAGCAGGCGTCGGGCAGCAGCTTCACGCTTCGCCTGCAATCCGAACAACAGACTCAATCCCTCAACTCTCAAAGTGGCTTCTCAAAGTAAGCACTCAGAGACTTGCTGGCAACATGGCCTCGATAGTGTCCTCCGTGGTCCCCGAATCTGCCGAGACGGCCGTCGCATTCGAGGCACCGGAGGACCCAGCAGCAGCGGCAGGGACAACGACGGCATCGCCGTCATCTACCGCCCCTGCCTCCTGGATCTTCTTCATCTCCTTCTTCAACTCCTCATCGATGTCAGCGATGGCGTCTTTGAACGGCGAGTAGTCGTGCAGCAGCTCCTGCGCGTTTTTGCCGTTTTTCATGGCCAATCGAACTGTCGCGTCATCCTGGCCCTCCACTGCGAAGCAAGCTGACTCGATCAACTCCAGCAGTTTCAATGCACTGTTCGGCCATGTCGCCTGCCAGCTGCAATCGACAGCTTCGGTGTCCTCGTCTTTCAAAGGCCTCAAGAGGTTCACGTAGCTGTCCCTGGACTCAAACACCTCACGAAGTTTCTCCTTTGCCGAGGAGACAAAGTTCCGACCGTCCATGAATGGTCCCAGCAGGTACAGCTTCATCTCACGTTGCCGCAGGAATACAAGACCATATTGCTTGGTACCGGCGCCTTGCAAATTCCGAGCGCTGAACTCACGGGCAGTGAGATGGTTGGTTTCGAACCTGTGCATGGTCGTCAGGAGCAGCCATTGCATCTTGACGACGGATTGTCGGCACATGCCAACGATCTCGTTGAGCTTGTGCACACTCGCAAAGGGGGACTCGTCAAGGTGGTCCTGTTTGGCCTTGAGAACAACGTCTCGAAGTTTCTCGTGAACGAACATCTTCTCGTAGACCGTCACGCATGCCTTGATGGTGCCTGGACTGGTTCGGTCCTTGTCCTCCTTGCTGGCCTCCTGGTCCGAGCGCTTCACCTTCAGGAGCCTCGTTTTGTAGAGGTAAGCCAACTCCTCGTCTGTGAGTGTTCCGGACACAAGCTCCTTGCGTACCTCGTGCTCGGGCACAAACTACTGTTACTTCACCCACCCACCCACCCACCCACACACCCACCCACCCACCCACCCACCCACCCACCCACCCACCCACCCCGGCACCCGGCAACCCTGACACCCACGAAACTAGTTGTGCGTGTTGCGCGTGTGCTAGATCCTGGCTGCCAAGCCTGCCTGAGCCGTGAAGCCGAGACCCTAAAACCCTAGAACTCCTGAACCCCTAAACCCCGAAACCCTAATTTACTAAACCCCTAAGAAAATACCCTCAACTGGGGGCTTCACCTTGAAGTTGTAGACGTCGAAGATCATCTGTGTAGTCTTGTGGGTGAGGACACGGTAGTCCTGCTCAGCCTTGACTCGCTTGTTGGTCGCATGGAAGTAGATGTCCTCTTCGGTCTTGAGGTCTATGAAGGCAGCAGGGCATGACAGCACCACGCGCCTCCATGCCAGGAGTTCATCCTCCTCGGCTCCGAGCATCATCCGCTCGTGGATCGCCATGATGACAGCGTGCTGGAGCCTCGATCGGACATGGGTGGTTTCCTAGACCTAGCGGGTGTCAGGGCTTAGGGCTCAGGGTTTCAGGATTACAGCAGAGAGCTGGGTTCAGGGTTTCGTCATCTTAAGTTCCAGAATTTTACAAGGTTTAGGACTTAGGGAGCCGGCTTTCGGGTTTCATGTTGGGTTGAACCATGCAGTTTCCTTGAAGCTCAGCCCCTGACTCCTCGGGACAACACTTGCGCCAACCACGGTCATTATCCTCGGGGTAGACGAACTCCAGCCTGTCCTCCACAACCTTGGGGCCGCGGGCCATCAGGCGATGCACCAGGTCCGACAAAGCCTTCGCCATAATAGGTACTCCGGGGGTCACTGACTCCAAGGGGTTTGCCCAAAGAAGGTTGACACCGCAGACATACTCACCGCCCGAATCACGGGCAGCAGCCAAGGCTGCGTTGTCCAGCGGAGCCAGAAAGCCGGCCTGGTCCCCAGCGACGGCGGGTACAAGTGGCAGGGGGTCGAGGGTGTCAATGTTCGGCCCAAAGACTGGATGATCGCGAATTGCTTGCAAGCACTCCTCTATCATTTTGAAATGCTGCACATTCGGATCGTAGGTGTCTGCCGGCAGTCGGCCGAGACCCGGCGCAATGGTTGGCGTCCCAGCATTTCCCTTCGTCTTCTTTGGTGGCATGATCTTCCGGATGCAAAGACTTGCAAAGAGAGTATGTTTACGAATTCGCGCAACTCTCGAGCACATGGTAGCCACACAAACAGAAGCACCTACACACACACACACACGCACACACACGTGCGCACCAAAACCATTCTCACTGCACAGCATGTGAGGCGGCAGGCTGCATACAGTGAATACAGTGACCTGATGACAGACTCAATCCAGTCCTGCTGCAGTGACACGTAGCCGACTTAGCCCCATTTTCCCAGCTGACGGAACGGTCAAGTTCGGAAAAACTTCAGCTACACTTCACTTAAAAAGCCTCCACGCACGTCTCGTCGTTGCAGGAGTCTGTGTCCCTGTCATGTTCGGAAGCACTTCAGCTACTCTTCACTTTAAAATTCTCAATGCACGTCTCGTCGTTGTCGGAGCAGGAGTCTGTGTCGATGACAGGTTCAAAGTAGTCACGGGAGACCAATGCATTGAAGATGGAGCCCATGTCGGCCACGACTTGCTCCCTCAGTGCTTCGAGCTCGCACAAGCGCTGGTACAAGATGTAGCTGCTCACCTGGCCAAGGTCCACATGGGGCTTCCAGTTCTTCACCTCCGCAAGGCACTCGGTGGGTGTACTTCCGCGGCCGAGGACCTTTGCAGTGAGTTGCTCCAGTCCAGCACTTTCTTGGTCTGCGAGTCGCTTCGAGAGCTCTGAAGCCTCCTGAGCAGTGTCAGCCCTGTTGATCAGCCAGCCATGATGTTTAGGGAGACAGCCCACCTGACGTTGGATACGGTCACGTTTGGATCTCCGTTCTTTCTGTAGCGCAGTCCTCTTTCGAGGCGGCTTCTTTGCCCGGCCTTTTGCTGCCTTGCGAGGCATGGCTCTGTCTACGAGAGGTCCCTGCAGTAAACCCAAAACCTGCGGTCCCAGCAGAATTGGCTCGTGAATCTCGGCTGCTCGCGACACACCACGCAAGACATGCCAGTTCGGGTTGTATGAGAGCCTGGCAGGTGCGATGGGTCGCCAAGCCTCCTGGCAGAGCTCGTTAGGACTGTTCTCTAGGAGCTACCGTAAACCCTAAACCACAATTTTAGGGTTTAGGGGTTCAGGGGTTTAGGGTTTAGGGTGCATCGGGCAAGTAGCTTTAAAGGAGGTCTGGTGTTTCCAGCCCGGGCTTCCTTCGTGGTGCTGGCGTGCAGACGGCGCCCTAAAACCTGGCCTTAAGCTAAGGCCATACGACACCGAAGCCTAGGCCTAAACCCCAACAACCCTGGGAGAAGGTCGTCGTAGCAGCTAAGATTAAAAGGGGGACCGAGGCTATCAGGTTTCAGGAGTTTAGGATTCAGCTTTCAGAGCCTAAAATAATCCTAAACCCGGTGCCCTCTTCTACACGTCTGAAGCTTGAACCCTCTACCCCTAACCCCAGTGCTCTTGGGCAACATGGACGGGGACTCCAAGCCCTGTATACTACATGAAGTAGAGGTTATCGAAAGCATTATTTTAATATGTAATGTTTTGGATACAGCAATTATGAAGAAGTACGACGTGTAACACGTATCTATACATATATATACATGTACATTTTTGGTTTTCGCATATCAAATGCGTCAGAATAGAATATAATATATAAGATACAACATGAAATATATAATACATCATATGCAATATTTCATATATACTATACAATATACTATATATGTATATCTCCCATACAGAGAGATATAGTCGATAACTTTTGTATATATATATATACATACATATCACAATGTCAGCTGAATACATGTATTATATAATGCATAACATGAATACATGTATTATAGAATGGATAACATATACTATATATGATATACTCTATAGTTCATATGTAACATGTACTATACATACTCGAACTAGAAAATATAATGCAAGCTACGTACCTTTTTGACTATGTTATGTTCATACTGTCTAATATGTATTTATCATCCAGCACCACATACTATACTGGACCAGACTAGACTATACCATTGCTTTTACGTTCCTTCAAACCTAAGCCCGGAACCCGAGGTCAGGACCTGCCTCGGCGCCTGGTCGTCGAGTGTGCACGGCAGGGCCACCTGGTTTGGGGTCGAGGGAGGTTTAGGGTTTTAGGGCTTCAGGGTTATTTGGTCGGGCCGAAACGTCTCTAGAGCAGGGCGGCTTGTTCCAGTGCGGGGTGCGGCACACCCCTGTACTGTAACTGTTCCTGGCGCCTGAGACGCTTGCTACCCTGGGGTAGGGGGAGGTGCACTTTGCTAGGTGGAATCGTGTCAGGCATGTCGGGGTTTAAAGGGCCTAGGGCTACCAACCGCCGTGGGCGCCTGGAACATATGGAAGAGAGGAGGGCAAGCCACCCGGCACTGGAAGCGTCCACCCTGGGCCAGAAACGTTTCTAGCCCGGGGCTGTTTAGCTAGGGTACCAATCGTCACCAGCGCCCCCGACAGCTGTAAGAAGCTTAACCGGCACCGAGCCTAGAAACAAATCCAAACACCTGGGGTCCCAAAGCGAACACCTCCACTCCACCGCAGAGCCTGCAGCCCTGTTCTCGAGACCCCCAGACGCCACGAAAAAACAAAAAGTTGCCCTAGACACCCTTAGAGAAACACCAAGCCCCTGAAACAAACCTTTGGCCCGAGGACTCGCCAGGCAGCACCAACTTAAAAACCCTACACCCCCGAGCCCCAAGACACTAAAGACCGAAACGCCACAACCCTAAACCCCAACCCCGACCTAAAGCCCGAAACCCCAACCCCTAAAACCCTAAAACCCTAAAACCCTAAACCCCTAAACCCCTAAACCTAAGCCCTAAACCCCTAGGCCCTAGACCCTAAAACCCAACAACCCGAGACCCTATAAGCCTACGGCCCGAACCAAGCACAAACCCTTAAAGCCCGACACAGGAGCTCGGGACGCTGCGTCCCGGTCCGCTGGCCTGGACCAAGAGGGGGTTAGGAGTTTAGGTTTCGGGCTATAGGGGTTTAGGGGTTTAGAGTTTAGGGGTTTAGGGGTTTAGAGCCTAGGGGTTAGGGCTTTAGGGTTCTAGGGGCTTAGGCTTAGGGGTTTCGGGCTTTAGGGTTTTGGGGCTTTAGGGTTTTAGGGCTTCGGCTTGTGGGGTTCTAGGGCTTCCGGAGCTTTAGGGTTGTAGGGGTTGGGGTTTTAGGTTTCTGGGGGCTTAGGCTTAGGGCTTTGGATAGGGGTTGGGCTTTAGGGGTTTGGCGTTTCGGTTTTTGGGGCTTCTGGGCTGCAGGGTTGCGGGCTTTAGGGTTGCAGGGGTTTGCGGCTCGAGGGTTTCAGGGTTTTAGGGTTATAGGATTTCGGGTTTAAGGGGGAGCGGATTCTGCGCGGGACCGAAGGGGATTGTGTTCTCTGCTTCAAGAAGTCGGGCTTGCCATGAGGGTGCATGACCAAGTTAGTGGGATGCATGCATGCATGCATGCATGCATGCATGCATGCATGGATGTATGTATGTATGTATGTATGTATGTATGTATGTATGTACACACACACACGTGTATATATATACACATAAGAAGGAGGCGGCATGTATACACATGTACATACTATATCTCTAAGGCGTGTAACTAAGTCTGTTTATGTGCAGAGGATGTGGAGGGTATACATGTATGCATGTTGCTAGGTATGTATGTGTAGTATCATGTGTGTACATCAAAAATATGTAGGAGCTCAGGGCTGCCTTTCTTGGCACCTAGCAGAAACGGTCACTTCATAGACATCCAGCGCTGCTGGACACTCTTGGTCATAGCGGCGAATTCGGAGTCTGTGAGCCATCCTGCTGAGTAGAGCAAGTGTGGCAGCACGGATTCGACAACGTTGAGTGACATAGCATTGCCCAGCATGCGGCCCGCAGCTCTGGGCGAGATCTTAGCACCCCCGAAGTCGAGCTTGTCCGGGTCGAATCCCTGCAGCACGGCATAGTCACGCACATCTAGGAAGCGTCCCTCCGAGGTAAGCCAGTGGCCGAAACGGCCGCAAGCACTTTTCGTAAGTGTCATACAGAAGTCCACAGAGGCATGAGACCAAGCGTCCGAGCAGCAAGCACCAACGACCACGGGAGTAATAAATGGGTTTACTCCGGCACTGCACTGTTTCTCCAGGACACTCTGTACTCGGCGAGCGGCCGCCTCCTGGTCTGGCAAGGCACGAAACGCTGGCGCCTCGGACCTTTTCAGATACCCGCTGAGCCTCTGTTTCTGAGGGAGGGTCGGAGGTACCGAGAGCGGATGCTTCAGGCAATCGGTCCGGACAGCTTGCACGTACAATCTGCGTCTAGCCTGAGGGACACCGTATTGCATGGTGTCCAAGATAGTCCAGTTGTATGTGTATCCAGCTGCCTGAAGACAAGCAAACCACACCTCCATGTCGTCTGTGTGCTCCAAAATTTGGGGCACATTCTCTAGCAGGACAGCCTCCGGAAGTTTAGAGACTATAAAGTCGAGCGCATTCCACATGCCATTCCGGACATCCTTGAAACCACCTCTCTTGCCTAGAGACGAAAATGGCTCGCAAGGGGGGCGAGCGACATACAAAGACACTGAAGGCGGGGACTTGCCATCGACCGCATAGTCTCGTTGACGCACGTCGCCCAGCAGTTGCTCCGGTCGGTGGTGATGCTGGATGAACTTTTGCACATCCTTGTCGAAGTCTGCACTGAAGGAATGTTTGAAGGGGATATTCAACCGCTGGAGAGCAAAAGCCGCCGTGTCTAGCCCTGCGAAATCTGCTCCCAAGGTCAGTATCTTCCCCTCCGGCTTCGAGGCACTGGAAGACGAGGCTTCGCGTGGTCGCTTGGGCATGCTGCTACCGGGTTCTGGCATTCTAAGCAAAGAGCTTTGAGATACGGGTAGGCCGCAGTCACACATCTCGCTGCCGCCAGCACCCCGATACAAACGCCAGCCATAAAATTTGGGTTCAGGGTTTAGGGTCAACCACCCAGAGAAAACAAGAAATAACCATTCACCCGAATCGTGTGAGCCCCCCCGCTCCTTG